GAATGTATAAAATATACACGAGGTAATTTATAGCCGTTTTTTATTTAATGTCTCTTCCATCTTTAATCTCGGCTAGCCAATACGTGTGGAATTCATGAAACGATCTTAGGAATAATCTGCACATGGGCTTAATTATTTTCTTTAAGGATTTTATAATTCGTCCAAGCGCGGTGTCGGTATTACCAGCGAGAGAACAATCCCGCGGATGTGCGTCCGCGAAGGAAGACAAATGTGAAATAAGGGTTTCTATTTCTAGGATCGTGCGAGGGGCGTATTTGTGTGAGAGGCATCTGTTATTTCCCCACGCCGAGATTGTTAGGGGTCCGGGAAGCAAGGGCCGCACCATAGCTGGAAGAGTCAAGGGGGAAATAAAGGCGCGTCTTCCCTCAAGGGCTGCGGGAGGGATAAATGCCGGTGGCGTGTGTGCTTCGTGTGGGAGTGGTTGAATCGATGCCAAACGACGGAAATAGAAAAACATGATATGTGCAGAATCGACGAGGGTTGGCACCACGCGGTCTGTCCTCCTGCGTATGTACATGTACTTTTTCAGGCGTGCCTCTTTGACCTTATGGGACCGGTTTGACCGTCGCATTTTCCCATTTACAACACCTTCCCATACCGTCAATTTGATAACCCTGAATCACTAGAAAATGATTATATTCATAGATTCTTAGACCTCTTCCAATAAGCCATTTCCAATTTAGACAAAAATACTTTGCCCACCAAAAAAACCTAGCACCGACAAAATGGCCAACTTTGTAAATTCATATTTTTCGTGTACTTTCTTTTTATAAGTTAATCATTCTCAACCTGACAAAACACAGGACTTCATTTTTCTCACATGATAGGTATCTTCTGTCAGGCTTTTAGCAGACTTGGTAGAGTTAAAATTTGATCTAAGAACTTTTTTACTGCAAAATACTAATATAAATTTATATTAATTTTATTGCACTTCAATATATTATTGTTGAGTAACATGTGTATCTAGGTTGCAAATTACAACATAGTTACCTCCTGAAATGGAAGTAATTATTATGTTGGAAAATTAAGCGTGAAAACGTATCTAGTCGGCAAGTTCTCACTGACTATAAATATTAATTGAAAACGTCAATTTAGTAATTTTTCGAGTACGTGAGATGTTTTGATATGTGGAGTAGTGCAAAAATCTGTACTGTTCAAACAGTAATTAAATAAAACCAGTACACCACGTGATCCTGCTGTAGCTCTTTAATACTTGATAAATATTAACTCCTTATTACAAGATCTTCTCTAAATAAGATAATTTCTTGCTAAATGAAACTTTAATTGTATAAATTGTCTATTTTTTTCTCATTTTTATTTCAGGTATTTTCGGAGACTCATGCTATTCGTTAGGGCTAATTACCTCCCCCAGTGCAGGGATGAAACTTCGCGAATTATTCAAGGAGTTTCTTTTCTTAACTTTTTTTTGTAAAAATTAGGCTCAATATCAAAACTAGATTGTGCGGTAGGTGAGTTTCAAATGAAAAAAAATTGCGGGAGGGGGGAAATAATTTGTCGAACTTTCCGGCGTCAACTTTTAGCCCCGGGGGCGGCGAGGGAACGGAACTTGTTGCGAGATAAAAGGTGGAAATATTAATGATTTTCAATGCAAGACTTGAAATAAAAGAAAAGCAGGGTGGCTTAAAATAAAAATCTCTCTTTATTCAATGCCATTCCACAAAATGATAAAAAATATAGTAATTTGGTATTTCTTTATTACAACGCAATAAAGATCAGCAAATAGTCCTTCATTATCGCTATTATTTATATGTTCCGAAGCCTGTCCAGTCTCGCTACTAACCACAACAACCATGTAAAAGTTCATTTAAAAACTACATAATTTTCTATAAAAACTACGTAATTTCCTGGTTGATTTGTGTATGACTATTTTGGCTGGAGTTCTTTAAAGTACAACCCGAAGTAAGAGTTGACGTTTTTGTTACAGGTACAGTTAGGTTATATTTTGTTTGTACTATTGTTCATGGGAATATAAGTTGGCAGAAAGAATTGCAATGACACCGGCGTATGTTAGGATAATGGTGTTGGGATGGGAAAGGATGCCAGTAGTGTATACTGACTACAGTATCGGACCAATGACGCTACCCTGAGCGACGCCCATGTTCGCCTTTTTCAAAGGAGAGTCAATAGATCCGACCTATATTCAAAAGCACCTGTTAGCCAGATAGGACTAACGATGAAGATGTATGTAGAGGGTAGGATATCCTTGAGTATTCTCTTGGTTCTTGTTCGATATCGAGGAAGAACCCCCCCCCCCCCCCAAACAATTTCTTCTCAAGGGAATTTAATTAGTTAACTATAAGACATGTTAGTGTTTTTATTTCTTGCATTTTGATAACAAATTTGATTGTGAAATGAGTAGTTTAAAAATTGTTTAATAGACCTAACAAAGTTGTACATGATGCGAAATCAGGGACATAAGCAGGGTGAGGCAAGACTAATTTGCCGACCTGCAGATACGTTTCCTGGTTATACTGGAGTCCTTTTGGCAAAATAAACTCGCTTTTTAAAGCCAAAGAATCATCACCTATTAAGATCAAACTGCAAATTCGCTTAATTCCATCAAAAATTAACGATGGTTTTCAGGATCGATACTGATTTGGTAGGTTCATTCGAATCGAGGTTAAATTTGCCCATCGTCCAAATTCCAGGTTCATCACCACCTAGACCATACGAATAAGTGTTACAATTTGACACATTCTTTATTCTTTACCCTTGGTCTTTGATGACGACGATGATGGAGATTGGGAGGTGGGGGTTTTATGTTCCCCAAGCACAGCAGCCTTCTGGCTTATTGACTGTTTCCTAGTTCCTTAGTTTAGTACATTACTCTCTTAGACTCGATCCTTATATTAACATATATTAGGTCATTGACTGTTGTTGCCTCATTTCCTTTTCCAGGATGTTGTTTGTATCCCAAGTCGTGCCACCATTGAGTGGTTGCTTCGCATGGTGATATTTGGTGGGTGTTTTCTCCTACTCATGGCATAACCTACAATGGGGTCATTGAATTATATCCATTTTATGTGTTTTCTCAGGAGCCAGTGATCGGTTTATAGCCTTATTGATACCCTGTCTAACTATAGCAGGGCGTTTGCCAGCTTTGGCGAGGTTTCTTTAATCATGACTCATGATGGCTACTGTCATGACATGAGGTTAAAACCACTTTTTTTCCCGAGGGTTTGCAACAGCTGAGGTCATATCAACCCTCGGGGTGCCGGTGTTTTTTGAAAAAAAAAGCCTATTTGTAAGTATGTCGGGTTCGAATGCAGGACCGCTGGATTCAAACCCGGGACCTTTACATTACAGTGATGGGCGCCGTGTCAACACCTAAACCGTTGCGGCCACCGACGCCCCTCTAAAAAAATTCACTTTAAGAAAGCAATTTCCAATGGCGGTTGAAACCCTATTAGTGACCGATAAACCATTTTTTAACAAATTTCTTTAACTTCTTATACATTTTGCTCAAAAGTATAGTTAAAGATTTTTCAAATGCTAAAACCTTTATAAATAAAATATTTTTTTAAATTTGATTATGGGTCTTTTAATTAAATGATCGGAAATGGCAGAGAAAAAAATATTGATTCAAAAGGCCTTTCCTGCCTTTCGATATGTAAAAATTACACATTGTATCAAATTATTTATGATTTTTATTGAGCCTAAGGTTATGGGTCCGATTCCCGCTCGTGACACTAGCTTTTTCAACTCAAGCAAGACCTTAGATAAGAAGTATAATTAATTTAAATAATTAATACGGTCAGTTATGGCTACTAAATACATATATGGATTGTATCAAATGTTCAACGTGACCGAGGAATGAATAAGACTTTCCTAATTATTTTCATCCCCATCCTTGAACGGGTTTTGCCCTTTCTCCCTGCATGCGTCACATTAGCATACGGGCCTTTTAAAAATGCTAATTTGAAAACAGGTCTCGAATCTCGATTTCATTATGCGATTATCTAATAGTGACCTTTGTTTACGCTCCAACTATTTACAGCTCGTTGGCAGACGCCGAGCCCAAAGGGGAATTTAAAAACACCTCCTGTTTTTCTGGCCTTGTATAATTTTTCCATTTGTCTTTTCGAATGACGATTGTTTTGGAGCCGCATGCCGGCTTATGGACTTATTTTAAATTTCCGTTTAGCCGCAATTCACGAGCTACGTGTTATTACTTATTATTCAAGGTTTAATATTATTTATATTGGGTCGTAGGCGAGTTGGAATCTACAAACAGACCATATGAATAGAAAAATTTGTTTTGTTTAGTTTCAACAGGTTTAATGGTTCAACCTTTTTGTCCGGAAAAGGTCAGAAGTTTTCAAATTCCTTATACCCGTTTTTAGTATTTATATTACCATTTGGTAAACAATCCTGGCATAATATGGTAAAAAAATTCCCAGTTTGTAAAGTAACTAGATTTTGCCTGAAACCAATGATAGGTTAAAATTATATAAATAAAATATAACCGCTACAAATTATTCTTATTTAAATGTGTGGTGATTAGTGACCGTTAATCGATTATTATTCAGAAATCGTGAGATGCGGTCTGGTGTGATGTAGGTTTCAGAAAAACATTTTCTTTATCGTGCCAACGTTTCGATCTTTATTGAGATCATCTTCAGGGCCTGCGATTTACAAACATTGTTTAAATTTAACAAATACATGTTTTCCACATCCTACATGTATTTGTTAAATGTAAACAATGTTTGTAAATCCCAGGCCCTGAAGATGATCTCAATAAAGATCGAAACGTTGGCACGATAAAGAAAATGTTTTTCTGAAACCTACATCACACCAGACCGCATCTCATGATTTCTGAATAATCATTCTTATTTAACTTGAACCTGTGAAGAGCATGTATCAAAAGGTTAAACTTGAAAACCAAAAATATTTTACTTTTTTTTTTATTTATAAATATGTATTAAACAATTCTTAAACAATATTAACCATTGTTTCAGTCGTGGAGTCGATCATGAAAGGAGAAGACGTCGGGATGACCCCGAGGAGGTCGCGGTCCAACTTCATGCTTCACCATCGGACAATCGTGAGTACAATAAATCTTTACAAAACTGGGCGTCGTAAAGGGAGTGTCTCCAATAACAAAAATTAATAAATAATAATAAAAAGCAACATCGCCCGGACATCCCTTTTCTTAAAAGAAAACTAAAAGAAAAAAGAAAATTACACCTTTTGAAAAGGCTGCCGTTTTATATCCACCCTGGTCGGTTTAACTGCCATGCAATTCGGAAAAAAATGTATAAAACCCAATCTATCAAATAAAAGCTTAAAATAAAATGCGCTTATGGACCAGATGGCCTTGCTTTCTTAATAAGAAACGGGATAGATATTAAGCAAATCTTAAAAGGGCAGTTTGACACTTAACTCCTCACCTTTCTTCATATATTTGTGTGAGTGTGCAAATTTTTTATGTGAAGTTTGTGGTCATGCAGATTACATAAAACCCTTTTTCTTTACTGTGGCTTGCACGATGTGGTAACTAAACCCACGTTTGCGATTTCATTTCCAATCACTACATTTATGTTAAAGCTTATGAAGCTTTATTTACTGACAAGCGAATCGATTGATCTTATGTTCTTCAAGATGGAAGTACAAGGTTGTTAATGACATACGAATAAATTGGAAAAAAAGAAGACTAACTTGAGAAAACGACTAACGTTCTTATGGATAAGGGCAAACTAGGAAGTTTGTTGCGTTGTTCGCCAACAGGTGATAATTGGCCTTCCTCGACTGGCTGAATGTAGATGTCTCCGTTGGGCGTCGCTCGTCCATCCTCCCGTGACTCAGCAAGCAATCCTTGTTGTATTTATGCCCTTCTCTCGGGTAACGACCGGTTTATTCTGTTCAGTTTGCGTTTATCTTGTTTTTTACGAGCCGTGCAAGCGGGGGCTCGACGTCATTTCCACACGCCGTTAGTTCACCTTCCTCCATTGGAGAGTCCATAAATCAGCCGCGTGGGTAAAAAAATCGATGGACACAGTTTCTTCCTCCTTACGAGTGAGAAATACACGATAGTTTTACCGTATAAATATGTCAAAGACTATCATCAGATAAAAGTATTTTCAATCTTTTAAAACAGTAGTGAAATAATTTGAGCGAGAGTCCATATCATAAACAGGATAGTCACCTAAAATGCCTCGATTTGTTCCCTCACAGCATGCGTTTTTATGCTGTTACTCTATTGAATTGTCATGGACTCGGAAACAGTTTTCCTTTCTTTTTAAGATACTGTTATACAAAATTTTTATCCTGGTGTCTTGCCAGTGGTCGAGGTCTACTACCTTTCGCTGATCCAATTTTTTGCATGGGTTTTCGACTTCGTCCCTGGGATGAGTCCCTTCAATACTGGTAGCCACTAGAATTTACGAGGCTATAAAACCGAAAGCCCCTCGGCCACAGTTGTAAACAGAAAAGGTTATGAACTAAACAGAGATAACAAAGACGGATACGCACTTTAACATGAGAACAATAGCCGCGAGGCCGTTCTGCAGAGAGTTGTAGTTGTTATTCCAACAATGAGGCTCTTTCGGCTCGTTACGCTTCCGACAAACGGTGGATGAATATTTATGGATTAGGATGCTATAAATTTCAACTTAGCCGTTTGTAAACAATATTGTCTGGTTGCGTAATAAATATTTTAGAGGAATTGAAATTCTCCATTATTGCCTTAGCATTCTCTAGTTGATTGTTTTCTTAATTCTACATAGAAAAAAAATCTCTGTTGATTGATAAAGTGTAAGGAACAGCTGATTAATGCGTTTGGACAGAGGGAACGTCCACAAAATGTTATTACTCCCTAGCAAATATAGGTTTTCTTGTTTGTATTAACAATCAAATTTAGTGAGTTTCTATTATTTCTGTCTGTCTGTTTTTTCCCCTGAACAATTTTCAACCCTATACACCCTAGACGGTTTGGTCAATAGACCGCCAGGATTTGTATTATAGTTTTCCCAGTAGAACTCCGCTTTTACTGTTATTCGGGTTTTTCTCTTTCCTCTCTTTAACCTAAATATTTGCCTTCTATCAGAGCAAACAATCTGGTATTAAATAAAGAATCGGCTCTTGTTTTTATTATTTGTTTTCCTTATTGAAACTGTTGATTCGATATTGGCTTAGAAATGCAGGAAATGATTTTTTTTTTCAACTCCTAGTTTCAGTTTAAACCTATAAATTGAAACTCATCACTTGGTTAATAAAGCGTAGGTTAGCGGCGTGAAAATTGAAAGTAAAACGTAATAAATAACACACGTTCCTGGTCAAAGTCCAAAGCCGTTTTTCATCGGTGCAGAAAGGGGCTACCACCTCCGGTCGGCAATTCAACAGAAGTGCACGAAAGGTGGGATGAGTTATCGTCCTGGTTGGGCATGATCGGACGTAAATAGAGGCGGAATGTGCGGGCCGAACAAGCGAGACTGGACGGACGAGACCAAGGTTCCGCCGAGTACGCGAGACCCGGTCACGTCACGGATCCGGTTCCAAAATAAGAAAATAGAACGTCACGTTCCATTACGTGACTCCGGTCCAAAATACATAATCGATCCGTAATTAAATTTTGGCCGGGAGCCTCACGACATTTTCGAACCGTTTCGACATTGTTCTTTCTCCGACAATCCCTGATAATAAAAAGGCAATGACTTTTTTGTTTTTTATTATGAGGATAAAATATATTGTACGCAGATAGGATAATTACATATAGCGGTACGAATGAAACCTGGCCTACTAATCAAATTCCTTCATGAAAGAGGACTCAACGATGTGCTATAGGATCTTAAAGGGCGCAGTAGTAAAATACACCCTGACTAATTCATCTACAACTACTACAGTACGAATATGCGACAACCTTTTGTTAAGGGACGGTGATGATGTCACTACTTTTGTCCCCTTTTTATCATTAGATAACACAGCTGTTTGTTCATTATTTTATTTTTTGTATTCTGTCATAAAAATATTTCTTTATTTTGAACCCATTATGTTTAGTGGTCAGATTGACCAAATTATTTTGTTCAATTAATTAGTCTTTTTATGTAAGGTCTTGGTTGAAATGAAAAGTTTATTTTTGTACGTTTTGGGCTCATTGGCCCACCATCAATCTTAATCTCCATACAACGGACTACAACCATAATAAAAGTGAAAAAACGTGATATGATAATCCAGTTAAACAGGTGTTGCATTATTTTTCCTTTTTTTAAATCTTATTATTATTATTTATTTGTTATTGCGACGTTTTTGGGAAATCGCCTAGGCATGTGAAATTTTATTTTTTGTTTAGTTTCTTATGAACAAAAAAATTTAATCTCTAGGATAGCTGTATTCGAATTAAAGCGTGATTATTTCAAATCAGTTTTTGAGTGTATTTTATTTAGGGTGGCCCCTAAGTATAGGTGTTAAAAACATAGAAAATACCGGTGCAATTTTAACTGTCCTGTAATCGGAGGTTCCCTAAACGTAGAAGTCCCTCATCGCAGGTTTCATTATATTTCCCAAAGACAACTGTTCATATCACGGAAAAATCATTTTAATAGAATCATTAAAATAACCATTATAAAATCATTCTAAAAATAAAAGAATCCACGTTACGAAGACCAGAAGAAAGACTCTTTCTGGAATTTTACATTAATTTTACACATTTCTTCGTTATTATTTAAGTAAAAGTGCTTGTTTCCCTTATGTTTAAGTCAGTTAGATTGAATGGGATAAATTAGTGCCATAATTGTAAACATTTCCATCTTTAGGTTTTCCAAGGAAATCTTATTTCTAAAGGAATTTCACACAGGCATATAACTACTTCAGCTATTCGAAGTTGATGACTGGAGGATCATTAGTGTTCATTGTTTTCCAAGGTTTATGCTTGAAAAACAGTTTTGGATAAGTGCAAATGACTCGAACGTATACGATATGACATTCAGATATGAACGCTTAAGTCTAATATTTAGCTTTGTTTAATGGCCAGTTTCATAATTGCCGTGATAATGGAAGAAAACCTCTGCGAAGCGAATGACTTTTCCTGAAGCCATAAACGGCGCGCTGTGGCAGTTAAGCCCCTAGTTTTTTTTGCGAGAGGAGCAACTGCTTATTTACGAAAGCTGTTTTCTTTGGATACTGAATTGTTTCGATTTAGATTCGATCTCAGGGAGGGAGGGGAATTTTCCTAAGGAACATAAAACGTATGTCTGTTATACTTCCGAGTTGGAAACTGCAACTTCACATACTGAAAACTTTTCCACCGAAAACATCTGGCCTTCACGGGATAAACACGAGATACAGGGCGGAAGGGCGTAAAAACAAGTTTAGCATCCTCGCACGAAGGGAGGAGCCAGGCTATCCGGGGGATCGACCCAAATAAACAGAAGCAGCTCACATTTTACTGCCGCCCCCGTTCCATCCGGGGTCCTTTTCCAATCTCGAACCCCTCCCAACGGAAAGTCGTATAACGACTTCTTCTAAGTGTCATTTGCCGGGAGATCAGATAAAAATTTTATTTCTGGACTGGGATTCTGAAAATACGGATCTCTTCGGCCATCCCTCGTATTCAATTCATATTTTTATCTTCTATGATCTCTTGTCGAGGCCAAATGATCAGGTATACGGGATTCCGATGAAGTTATAAATTGGGCTTTGAACATCTCGTTTCATCTCTAGAATAAAACCCAGTGAATCACTTTGGTGGTCCGCCAAAACTAGGGCCAATGGCGCATATAATCCTCTCACAACACGTTGGAATGCGATACTAGATTTTCCTGTTATAATAATAGAGCAATTCGATCCCTTAAACGCTAATAAAAATTAATAAAATAAGGCAGAGGAAAAGTACAAACTCTCAGGCTTGTGAAGTAACAAAGCCTACAACAATCTGATCGACTATTTCTGAAATAAAAGTCCTAGCTGAAACTAAAAGCATTATTGTCAAAAATATGAGTCATTATATTATCATTAAAGAAATATAAAATTAGATAGATAAATAAAGGTACTTTACTAATTATTTTTATATAAATCATACATATTTTACTTAAATAAGTTATTACATGT